CTCAAGTTGTTCAGAGTCTCAACACAACTGTCAGGTACTCCGAGATATCGTGCGGCAGGTTTTGGACGCTTATTACCAGAAGGGCCATGGATTCCCTTGACATCCCGGTAATGAAGGATGCTCTTACGGCTTCAATTGCCACTTACCACACCAAGAAGATCATAGTCTCCGATCCAAGTAAGTTTTCTCACTATGGATTGATCCCTGAGTCCATGTATAGGTGCGTCACGCCACACAGCAAAATCATGGCTGACTACAGCACTAGAACACCCTTGCCTCCTAGGGTTCTGTCTGAGGAACAACGTGCTGCTCTTGATGCCCTCGATCAACCTGCCAACCGTGGCAAGAGGGCGAGCAAAAAGGAGAAAGCAGAGAAGAAAGAACCCGCACCAAAGAAGGAGAGAAAGAGAAGGTCCTCCAAACGCAAATCTGGGGCAGAGGCACCTTCTCAGTCAAAATCGAAAAAGGTAAAGAAGATGGCTAAAAGAGCCAAAGGGTCTCCTTCTTCTGAATCAGAACCGAATGCACCATCAGAAACAGAAGCTGCTGCTCCTCAAACCGAAACAACACCCGTTCAGTCTCCTCAACAACCATCTTCACCAGTATCTCCTCAAATTCCCAAATCACCCTCTCCACCTACATCTCCCCAACTTACCAAATCACCCACTCATCCTACTTCCCCAAAAATTCCAACCCCTCCCCAATCACCCACACAGAAGGTCACACTTTCTGTTCCTATATCTATCCCCCAAACCACAACAGAACCTAACATTCCCTTATCTGTTTCTCAACCTTCATCCTCTATCTCCACGCCCATTATCACCGAATCTGTTACCATCACCTCTTCCCAACCACCAATAACGGTCAATGTATCTGATACAGGGGCTGCTACTGTGGTTGAAACCCCGGTCATCAACCTTCCCCCATCTCCGTCTCCATCCTCCAACTCCGGTGCTACCTTGGGGGGCGATGATGAAGAGTTCGACTCTATCTATTATAGCCCCTACCGGATCCCTACAGACACAGATGCCGATACCCCTGTTTCAAGTCAGCAGATTCAGGAAATTCACGCCAAACTTGACAGTCTGCTGGCTGACAATAAAGCCTACGGGGGTGTTGTGCTCAAAGCCTTCATAGAGTCTGCGATCAAGACGTACACTGACACCTTGGATCATTCAACTGACGCCATAGATAACTCAGCTGCTTCATGCTCAAAATCCACCAAGGAAGTTTCTGAGGTTGTTCACACAACTCAGATCTTTCTTGATTCTCTAAAAGCTCACGCTGACTCTAGTGCGGCCAAATTTCAAGCGTCTGTAGACTCTTTCGAGGCTACCCTTCAGGGTGAAACCACTAAATTTGAGGCTCTGCGCGCTGACCTCAAAACTGAATCCACTTCATTTCTCAAATCTTTGGATTCACGTTTTGCCTCTCTGGCAGCCGAGAGCACCCTGAAGGAAGATCTTGTCAAGCACCAGGCAACCATCGACCTACAAAAGATCCAACTGGCCCAGGCACAACAAGAAATTACTTTGCTACAGACTCAGCGGGAAGTTCTTCAAAGTTGCGCTGGTGATGTCAAGAATATGCTAACAAATGTTCTTGACACCCATGATCCCTTCCTAACCCTCACTATTAGACAGCATCTCCAGGCGAAACTCCTTCCTGCTATTAATATCTTAAGTGAAATGAAGGGTGTCTCGGAGAAGCTTGTTCTTCCGAGACAAGGGGGAGAGGAAGGTGTGTCCAAGACAGAACCGAAGGTTAATGTAGCTTCGGGTTCTGGGAAACAAGTCCTAGTTGAGAGTGAATCAGATTCAGACGAAACTATCACTGAAGCTCTTCAACGCAAGAAAAGGGACAAAGAGCTTGATGAAACTCTAAGGATAGCTCGAGAGGCCGAGGCCAAAGGAAAGAAAGATCAAGGAGGATGAGGAGGCCATTCAAGCCAAGAAGACTCTGTTCCCAGATTGGGACAGAGACACACTCATCACTCAAGCGATTGAGTTTCCTTCCATATATTGGTTGGAACCGATTGCATCCTTTGAGTGTGATTTACACAAAAGACTCGCAGTTCGACATGCCTATCACGCGCAAAGCTTTCACATTTCATTGCTTTGATGTCACTGCCGATGTCCCTCATCCGAACCTGAAGGTTGACAGAGAGATAATAGATTTCTATCTGAAATATGGTCAACCGCAGTACTTGACATGGAGTGCTCAGAAAATCATTAAAGTCAAGGTACTGAAACCAACACAGGCTGGGAAATTTGTGAACGTTAATTTCAAAATCAACAGAGGAACGGCCAACATAGAACATCTTATTTCTCCGGCAGATCTTCCCAGTCTGAATCCGCATGATTGGATTTTGCTATACAACATTCTTCTCTCCAACCAAAGAGAGTATGAACCAATTCTTAAACATCTTAAAAGAATGCTGGCTTCCTACGTCCATGAGCTCGCCACTATGGATCAGGAAATAGCAAGAGTTATGAACAAGAAACCGGCCGTCAAGCCCACTACCAAGACCGGAGATGTTCATAAAATGAAGATAGGGCAAATTGATTCTTCCAATCTAACGGTTATGTTCACCAGAGGCGACAAGCATAAGTTTCTGTTTGCTTTGGTAGACAAACATCTGTTTTCTACAGATTGTCTGGAGCATATTATCAATATCATTCACCAATGCAAACAGAACTCAACAGCAGACAAGAAGAACTTCACTGACATGCTTCGTTGGTATATCACCTTCAGGCATCATATTCTGGCTTTAATACCGAAGATTTTTGAAACGGTAAAGAAGCCCTCTGCTATGAAAAGAGAATGAAGGTCTCGCTCCAAATTGACGCAAAGGGGGAGATTGTTGGGCTGAAAATTATTTTGAAGATTGCGTCTTTTGGGCTCGACAGATTATGTTACTTTGTATTCCGGTTTGGGCCTGTCCAACCGTGAACCTTTTATGTTTTGTATATAAGTTTACGCTTGCATGCATATTAGGTTAAGGTTTTAGAGATCTGAAAACAGCGATACATCTAGACGATAACAGGTTTCTTTGATCATTCCTGTAACCTTCCAATCCTCTACAGTTGATGTTCTTAATCGAGCTCTTCTGAGGATTTTGTTTAATCATTCGACACGTTTGATTCCATCTTGACTTATTCTTTTTATTGCGTTCATATTGTTTTTGTTTATATACTTGTTCAAGATCTAATCGATCTTTATAGATTAAAGGTTAATTTAATCTCAACATATATATATATATATATATATATATATATATATATATATATATATATACACACGAGTATAAGGGTAGGTGTAGGTGTAGGTATAATGTATGTACGATGGATATAGTTGTATGTAGACTAATAATGGAGTAAAGTTGTTTGTGTGTTAGGGGAGGGGGTGAGAAAGGAGGTATGATGGGTAGGTATAGGGGCGTCAGTGTGGGTATGTACTAAGACCAAACCATGTTTGGCTAGCTATATTATATGGTGAGACTTTTACATACAAACTTCTACATAGAGGGTTTCCATTAATGAATGCCACATCAGATAGTAATGGTTGTCTTGTCCATTGCTTTGTTCTATACTTTTTCAGAGGAAATGGTCAAAATTTGAGTATTGACATTTAAAAAAAATATATTTTTTTATTTTTAAACCATCAATTTCCAAAAAAATAAAAATATATTGATGATGTAGATTGGTGATAATTTTCAACAATTTATGGTGTGATAGTGTGACGATGTGACTATTTTAGTAACATCTTGCGACCACAGTTCCTAGTTTTATGGGTGTTTGACTAAAATTATGATTTTTCATAATCATTTTTCAACTTATAGCTTATAACTTATAACTTATAAACTAATAAGTTAAGACGACATATACATCTTTAGTTATTTCCAGTATAACACATATAAGCTATTTTTTCCCAAAAACTATTTTTAACTTATGGCGACGACAAGTCGTCGGGAAAAGGTCATCGGGAAAGGGTCGTCGGCACAGGCGTGTCGGCATAGGTCTGTTAAGTCGTCGGCATAGATGTCGCCGATATAGCGTGCTCTATTGCGACAACATGTCGTCGGTACAGATTTTGTCAACGATATTTTCAGGGAAAAAATAAAGTTTTATTAGAACCCTGTGGCAACGACATGTCATCGGGACAGCTATAGCAACGACTAGTCGTCGCGACAGGTTGAAGCTATTATGACGCTATGTTGTCGCTATAGGGTTTTATTAGTTAACGGTTATGGACCTATAGCGACGACTTGTCGTCGGTATAGCTACTGATTGTTTTTTAACTTTATAGGTTTTGTACATTACCATTCCTGCATGTTTAAGAAATCCCAAAAACATTGCAGCATATATAAACTGAAATACATTAACTAGGTACCATTGTTCAAATTCAAAACATCAAATTCAAGTTTAATATTACAATAAGTAGTTAACTAACATTGTTTATAATACTAAAAAAACATCAACCATCATTGTCATAATCGTCTTCTCCTTCTTCTTCTTTTGCTGAAATGCTATCGTTACAATATTTTGCTAAAACAAACAAACAAAAAAAAAACCCTATGGCGACGGCAAGTCGTCGGGATAGCCTTGTGATGTGGATCGCCACTTGTCATGCCGACGACATGTTGTCAGTATAGAATACGCAAAACTACATCGTTTTGCTTTTCTAACACATGGATTAAAAATAAATGGAAACTATATTTTTTGGTGCGTATACCGACGACAAGTTGTCGGTATTGAATTTAAGAATACCGCCATTATTTTCATCGTTCCCGCGAGAGTTTTGCCGACGACTTGTCGTCGGCATAGGGGTCCTAGTCAAATTAAATAAGTCAAAGTTCGCTAAACCTATGGCGACAACAAGTCGTCGGCATAGGGATACTTTTAGCGACGACATTTTTCGTCGGGAAAGTGTCGTGTGCATAGGTCCGTTTCCTTTTTAGTGTTAAAAGAATAATAATATTAAAACAAAAAAACAAAAAGATCCGAAATCCTTAGACATTGAACAGCTACACCCTAGGACCAGAAAGAACATTATAAATCTCCATGGAGAACTTACTATACAAAAATGCTACATTTATTTAGAGCATTTCCATAAGGAATTAGTGAGGATTGCTCTATAATACTAGAAGCGCTACACTTAACACACACATGACTTATAATCTTAACCAAATCAAAATAGAACAAGTCTACATATCAAAGTTACTCGATAGGGGAAGCTCGAGCAAATAGACCAAAAGCTGGATTAATAACAGTAAACCCTCCATCAAGTACTAGATTATGCCCGCTCATGTACTTGGCCTCATCGCTCGCTAGAAAAAGAGCAGCTTCTGCAACATCTTCTATACTCAGCAAGATCCCTTTGAGGTTCGAATAAACTTTTGAGTATTTATCAGGGTAATCTTTTACATAATTTGTAGCCATAGGTGAAGGGATAAAATGAGGTGATAAGCAATTAACACGAATCCCATATTGGCCAAGCTCGGCAGCTGTATTCTTAGTTAGACCCACAAGCGCATGTTTTGAAGTCGAATAAGCATGAGAAACGATTCCTCCAACGCTCCCAGACACACTTCCCAAATTAATAATGCTGCCTCTCCGAGCTGAAATCATGGCTCGAGCTGCGTGCTTTGTTCCTAGAAACACGCCGGTAACGTTGACTTTCATAACCCTTTCAAAATCTAACATATCGTTATCGAGAATACTGAGCTTTCCATCATCTACAATGGCTGCATTGTTGACCATTATGTCCAACCTACCATATTTGGCAAGTGTGATGTTGATGACATTTTCAACATCAGATTCAACAGTCACGTTACAATGGACAAACAAAGCGTTTTCAAGACCAATATCTTTACAAACTTCTTGACCTAAGTCGTCTTGGATATCAGCAATCACGACTTTGGCTCCATGTTTTATGAATAGTCTTGCCGTTGCCTCACCGATTCCTTGAGCTCCACCAGTGACAACTGCTACTTTCATTGACAACCTAAAGAAAAATTAAACAGCGTTACAAGAATGAATTGTTTATGGATTACTCACAATCTTAGTTTAATTTCTTTAAATTGTTAAAAGAAAAATATAAATGAAGCATCCAGATATATGAGTACAACATAGTTTTGATGATCCTACATCGAAATTCTATCTCATGAAAAGCATAGTTTTTATCATCCTTGCGTCGACCATTATATCTTGAAAACCATCTAAACAACCGTTAGATCTAAGTTTATATGAGTGTTGATAATAAAATCCTTCTCATAGTGAAATGCTTATCATGAAAATAGTTGAATGATTCTACTCGTATTTTTATTTTACTTTTAACCTTAAAAAAGATTTAGAAAACCGATCGAACTTTATTCTACATTATTTTTATTGTGAAATGTAAAGATCTTTATATAAGAACGAAGTTCTATCTTTTATAAATTTTATAAATTTTGGGTTAATTTGTTAATTTTTTAATTAAGATTAATTGCTTTGCGAAGAATCTCACTAATAAGTTTGTAATTTGTGATGAATATACATTTTGATGGTGGTCTTATCAGAATTCGAGAAAAAACTAGAAATAATCACCTGTGACTTGCGAGCATTATTTAAACATTCCTTGAATAAAACCGATCAAAATCATATGAGCTTAAAATTTTGGAACTGTTTTAAATTGAAATTTCGCAAACAAGATTTTATATTTACTTAAGAACAGTTTTTAATATAAAAACTTGCCGTAGAGGGACTGTATGTATCATCTTTCCAAATATTATTGAATGTCATACATCTAAGTAATTTTTGCAGAAATTTACTAACTGTTTAGGGGGTACTAAATTTTGCACGCATTACTCATATTTATTTATGTATGTCTATTTATTATTTGTATGAATGTGTATGTATTATGTATAACAACCAAAGTAGTAGTAACTAATAATAATAATATTAATAATAATAATAATAATAATAATAATTATTATTATTATTATTATATTTATAATAATGATGATGTATTGAAATATATATATATATATATATATATATATATATATATATATATATATATATATATATATATATATATATATTATGTTTTTATTATAAAAGAAATAAGATTACCTGGGGACAAATTCTGAAACATTTGCCATGGTTTTTGATGGCCGGATAAGCAAAAAGTTCTTGCTAATTGCTATAGATTTTGATCGGAAAGAAATGAGCGGTGGATGAATATGCCGAGCAGATGCCTTTAAATATAAAATTTTCCCTTTGTTAGTTTATTCTTTTAACACTATTTAATTGGCCTACCGGCCCTTGCATGAAGTTTCTTTCAAAAAGAAAAAAAAAAACACATGTATGTACTATTAATATAATATATTCTAACTAATGTATTTTTTTATTAAAAACGATATGTTTTAAAATTCTCTATTGGCATGTTGAAAAACATGGCAAAATTTTATTTTATGGAAAATATATCGAAGGACACAAAATAAATAATATGGGTAATGAAATCTATTTTCTTTTTAGTTGTATATTTGTCGAATGAACTTTGAAAAGTACTTATATAATATGATCAAAATACATTATTATTGATTTTTGTTTATTTATTACGATTTTTACTTAAAAAAACATTTCATATACTTCAAATTTTTACTTACTGCTTACGAACTCAAACTTTGTGTTTTTTTTTTTAATTTGCCGAAAAGTATATATATATATATATATATATATATATATATATATATATATATATATATATATATATATATATATATATATATATATATATATATGTGTGTGTGTGTGTGTTTTTAAGGGGTTGACATTGGTGTGCATGAACATAAGGGTAGGTGTAGGTATAATGTATGCATGACGGATATAGTTGTATATTATTCAATGTTTTTAAAATGTATATATTTATATTATAAGTTATGTTTTTTAAATAATTTAATGCTACAAAAACAAAAAAAATAAAAAAAGAGAATACTTTGGGGTGGTTTTATTTTTCTATGTTTTCAAAATGTATATATATTTATGTTATAAATTATGTTTTTAATTAATTTAATGCTACAAAAATAAAAATAAAAATAAAAATAAAAAAGAATATTGTGGAGTGGTAACCATTTCCAATGTTTAGTGGCGGTGGTGATGGGTTTGGTGTGAAACTGATGTGACGCACATGTAGCAACACTTTTCCGATAGGGGTGGGTGTGACCACTCCCCGTAGCCTTTGGCTAGTTATATGGTATGGTGAGACTTTTACACATAGACTCCTACATAGAGGGTTTCCATTAACTAACGCCACATCACATAGTAATGGTTGTCTTGTCCATTGCTTTGTTCTATACTTGTTCACAGAGGAAATGGTCAAAATTTGAGTATTGACATTTAAAAAAATATATATTTTTATTTTTAAACCATCAATTTCCAAAAAATAAAAATATATTGATGACGTAGATTGGTGATAATTTTCAAGGATTTGTGGTGATAGTGTGAAGATGTGACTTTTTTAGTAATATCTTGTGACCATAGTTCTTAGTTTTAGGGGTGTTTGATTAAATTTATGACTTTTCATAATATTTTTCAACTTATAGTTTATAACTTATAAACTAATAAGTTAAGACGACTTATACATCTTTAGTTATTTCCGGTATGACACCTATAAACTATTTTTTTCCCAAAAACTATTTTTAACTTATACCGGTGACGAACTGGTAATCAGCTAAAAATGAACTTAAACCGTTAATAAGTTAAAATAAGCTCAAATAAGCTTAACCAAACACCCTCTTAAAGTAAGCTCGATTGAAGACAAATTACTTAATGTGGTCCCCTTTATTTTTAATTATCCTCATTCGTACAGTAAACATATAAACAAAAAACATAACTTTATATAGGGAAAACGACATAAAAGCTTTTAAATTTTCACAAAAATGTCGGTTTTACTCTTGTACGTGTTTTATGTCCAGTAATGCCTGAATTTTTGTTTAATTTGTTTAATTTTACTCTTGTAGTCGGTTTACAGATAACCCACCGGTTTCCAGATAACCTACCGGTTACCTAATGCCAGTAAAACCCTTAAATTTTTAAAAATGCTCGGATTTACCCTAAAGTTTTTCAAAAATGTTCGGATTTACTCTTACCTTGATTATTATTATTATTATTATTATTATTATTATTATTATTATTATTATTATTATTATTATAAGGGCTAATGTCATAAAAATTCTCAAGTTTTCAGGATTTTATCGGTTTTGCTCAAAGTTGAATTTTATGTCCCTTTTTACCATAACATTTTCCAAAAAATGTTCGGTTTTACCCTTTTACCGGTGATAACAGGTTGCCATTATATTAACTTCGCAAAAAACCCTTAAGTTTATAGTTTTTTAAGTTTTTACCCTTAAGTTTAGAGTAAATTACACGAATGGTCCCTATGGTTTGGGGTAATTTACACGTTTGGTCCCTAACTTATTTTTTTAACTTGGAAAGTCCTTAGTATTTGTTTTTGTTACGCCATTGGTCCCTATTGTTTGTTTTTGTTACACCGTTGGTCCCTATCTTACCTAAAAAGACTATTATTTAAGTAGGGAAAATGATAGGGTAGGTAAGGTAAGATGAGATGGATGAAGTTGGTGGTGTGTTTATTTAAATAAATTAAAAAATCAATGACAAAATAGTTTTTTTAGGTAAGACAGGGACCAAGTGTGTAACAAAAACAAACAATAGGGACCTTCCGAGTTAAAAAAATAAGTTAGGGACCAAACGCGCAAATTAACCTAAACCATAGGGACCATTTGTGTAATTTACTCTTAAGTTTATATTTTTTTTTTTTACATTTTTACCATTTGTATTTTTTTTTTCATATTATATGTATTCATCAAGGTTGTCAAGATCGGGATCCTACCTAGGATCGTTTTTGGGTTTGCAAAATCGGAATCGTAAGATCGGGATCGAGATCCTAAGATCCCACAAAATAGAATATAATTTTAATTTATAATATTAATCATAAAAAATATTTCAAACATTTAATTGTTCGTTCAAAAGTTATAAAAACTTTAAAATATTAGTTATAAGTCACAATAAAAATGATAAATGGTAGATTGGTAAAGGGTAAAAGACATAAAATGGTAAAAAAAATTCATTTGAAAAAAAAAATTAAAGGAAGGTAGGATCGGATCGGATCTCGATCCTACGATCCTACCTGCGATCCTACCCAAAATACGATCATTTTACGATCCAGATCGTTTTTCATACATAGGATCGTAGGATCGTACGATCCTACGATCAGGATCGCGATTTTGACAACCATGGAATTCATGCAGAAAAATTATATTTATACACGATTTTTTTTTTAATTTAATGTTATATACAAAAATATTTATCTATATATAACATTAAAAAATATAAATACAATATTTAATTAATCAATTTTTCGTATATAAATACAAATTTTTTGCATTAATACGTATATTATGAAAAAAAATACTTAGGGTAAAAGTGTAAAAAAAATTATAAACTTAAGTGTAAAAACGCAAAAATAAAAATGGGTAAACTTAAGGGTTTTTTTTTTTTTTTTTTTTTTTTTGCGAATTTAATATAATAGTAACCTGAAAAACATGTTATCACCGGTAAAAGGGTAAAATCGAACATTTTTTGGAAAATGTTAGGGTACAAACCGACATAAAAATCAACTTCGGGCAAAACCGACAAAACTCTGAAAACTTGAGGGTTTTTATGACATTAGCTCTAATAATAACAATCAATATAATGGTAAATTCGAACATTTTTTAAAAACTTAGTGGTAACTCCGAACATTTTTGAAAATTTTAAAGACTTTACTGGCATTAGGCAACAAGTAGGTTACCTGAAAACCGGCTACAAGGGTAACAATGAACAAATTAAACAAAACTTCGGGCTTTATTAGACATAAACACGTCCAAGGGTAAAACCGATATTTTTGTTAAAAGTTGAGGACTTTTATGTCATTTTCCCTTTTATATATAAAATATTTTTATGCACATAAACATATAAAAAAGATTTTATGAATTTAAATACGTATTTCTTTTTAATAAATAGACAAAATACATTTTTTTTTACATATAAACATATTCACATAAAATATGTATGTATACAAATATACACATAAATACATACTTTTAATGTATAAAATTATACTTCATGTATTTATTTGAAAGAAGATATATTTTATATGAAAAATACATTTTTATACATATAAATACATTAAAAATATATATATATATATATATATATATATATATATATATATATATATATATATATATATATATATATATATATATATATATATATATATGCGTGTGTGTGTGTTTTACACTTTTTAATGTATTTATATGTATAAAAATGTATTTTAGATATATTCAAGTATAAAAAACGTATTTTCATCTCTAAATATATATTTTTCTATGAATATATACATTTTGTATTTATTTACATAAATACATATTTTTATGTGAATAAAACAATTTTTTTTATCTATTTACATGTATGAAAACGTATTTTTTTTTATATGTATAAAAGAGTATTTTATATGTAGAAATATCTTTTTTTATGTAATTAGTTGTTTAGGTACATGTTATATAATAAAAAAGAAAGCATTTTAACAAAATAGGCTTTGGTTTAGCGGATGAGGCGTCCCTCCACTCTTCTCAAACACTTGAGTTTAAAAACCTATGGCCTTCATTTACCCTTTTGTTGCTTTTGCAAGGGGCACCTGTCGATCATCAAACATTTTTGAAAAAATAATGGCTTTTGTTGAACAAAAAAAAAACTCAGGGCTAATTTCAAATAACGACTTGATGGTTTTTGTGTTATTAACCCGATTAAATCTAAATGTGTGTATGAAGATTCCAACACCGTGACTTCCAAAAACCAAAATAATAGAGTAGCACCTATTCCATCTATTCTACAAAGGCTTTTGTTTTATTATTTAATTTTGGGTACTATTTTTCAAACTGGTGTTGATGTATGTTCTCTAAATTTTTGAAATTCCTACTTGCATCCCTATTTTTTATCTTTCTTATTTGTCTTTAACCCAAATTGATTTGACATACTTTGTTTATTATTATTTTTTTTGTCTTTTTTATTATTATTATTATTATTATTATTATTATTATTATTATTTTTCTGTTTTTTTGTTGTCTTTATGAAAAATTACAAAGTTCCTACTCCTATTTTTCGTCTTTTTGTTGTTTTTTTGTTTTAAATATTTTTAACAAATACATAATATTATTTTTTTCATTTGAACTGTTTTTTTTTTTTTTTTTTTTTGTCATTTTTCTATT